TACTTCATTAACGTTCAACGATTATTATGTTTTGACTCACCAAATTATTTCATAATTATAGAATTCGTTTTCGTATATTTTTAAAGTGTAAATGTTCGAAAGTTGTGGAATTTAAACTTCGAAATTAAATAAGCTATAAATTTAAAGACATTGCTTACAGTTTATTAAATCAACAAAATCGCATTTTATTTCCGATGCCAAAATATAGGAAATCCGTTGTTCCCGTTGTTCCTCTGCCATGTGTTCATCGCGAGCCATATCATCACATTTCCTATCTTAATTTCACGTAACGATATGTTTCGATAAGCCATTTTGTCTTAAAGCCATTCATCGAAATGTTTTTTTTATGTGACAAATTGCCAAGCGAGCAGGTGGTTCACCTGATGTTAAGTGAATACCGCCGCCCATGGACATCTGCTACACCCGAGGGTTGCAGGTGCGTTGACAACCTTTTGAAAATTGGACTCCGGCCGCCTTGGTCACCAGACGAAACGCGAAAGTATTTATTATTATTCCACTTTACTTTTTTAATGTATTCATATTTAGTTTACTAAGATTTGAAATTAAAATAAAGTACATACCTACATATCTCATTCACGTATATTTTTTTCTACCTAGCTTTGGCTGGATACCACGTAATTCCTTTATACGGATATTTTCACCCAAAAAACGTTTGTCCCAGTCTCACCCCTCGCCTAAACGAAACGTATTTTTGATGGTTTTGCCATCTCACTCCCACCGTCTACCTCGCTGCCAGCCTACGTTAAGAGGGCTTTAATGACGGGAAAATTGAAACTTTCCTCCGTTCGAAGGCAAAAAGTTGCCCAAGTGTCGTAAAAAGCATTAGATAACGTAGAAAAAGGCGGCGAGAGGTGTTTCTGATGTTTTTAACGGCCAAATTAGAAAGCAATCAACGTTTCGATGCCCCAAATTTATCGTACTGCCTTTGATTTATGCATCGGTGCGAATCATGAAAGCCCTCACTTTAATAAATCACACCGATACAAATAAACTCTCAATTGCTTCGAGAGATGCATATTATAGGCATGTGTCTTATTTTTTTGCATACTTAAACTTATGCAAAAAAATATAAGCAAAAAAAATAATAATATTTTTTTTAAGCTGAAATAGTAATTGAAGCCAAAAAAATGTTTTGAAAAGAAAACTGTTACTGGTACAGTTACTATACTGTGTACATAGTATTATACAAGTATATTTTCACTGAATATTATATGTTATTCACTGTAACAATTACAAGTACATAGATTAACATTTTTTTCACAATTTTTTTCTTTTTGACCTAGGATTAGCTGGTAGAGAATGCAGTATAGCATTAAGCTCGCCTTTGCACAGTTTTTTCTGCATCAAAGATAAAATAAATCCTACACCCATTAATGCTTGAATCTATTCTCTTACTCAAAACATCATACATAGCTCCAAAGTTCCAACGCGCACACGTAAATCATTTTGCAACCTTTATCTCACGTATCCGTTACGTTGGCACCAAATGAAGTTATTGGAGAGCATATATCATCCAGGTCCAACACGGTTGTAATATTAAGGGACGTCGTTTTCGACAAGTTGTTTCAACAAATAATCCGCGTGTTCTTTCACCACGCGGCGTTTCGCTACGTTATGTGGTACAAACGTCGCAGCGGAGCGGGCGATTGTTGTGGGCAAAAGCCTTTACAAACTCTGTACTCTCTTAACTCGAATTGGATATAGTATACCTTTGAGATCGCTTTTGCACTTAAAAAACGAAAAATACTTCGGTACTAATCGTAAGTCTAACGTCATAATTCGTCTCTGTTAATTCAAATTTTTCGACTTCATCATTTTCATCATTTCAGTCCGTTAGAGTCGACGCTGATCATAGGCCTCCCACACAGACACCACGAAGCCCGATCCTGAGCTACCTACATCCATCGGCTTTCCGCACATTTATACAAGCATCACTACATCTAGTGAGGGTCGTCCTACACTGCGATTGCCAGCACGACGCTACCACTCGAAAACCTTTCTTCCCCATCAGGTTAATTACCTAATAACAAAATAGTAATAATAAAAACAGCAATCCCAGTTATGAACAGCCTAGTTTTTTATCAATGACGTTTAGATCTCTTAACTTGGAGTGTATCAGACCACGTCCGGACTATAGATCATGCACACCTGTAATATTAACGTGCACTATCACCAACAGATGGCGTCACGGGGCGTAGGAAACACGTCTCCCGGGGCTTTTTTTTGGACCAACACCCTTCCTCGGAGTTAAGGCATTTTTATGTGAAAGTTTTTTGAAATGATATTCGATGCCAGCGCCTCCCATTATTAGCAGTATGTTATTTATTTGGAACTAAACACTCTTGAGACATTGTGGTCTAACACGAAGGCTATGTAAGTTAAAAACACGAAACTTTTACGAAATGAGTCAATAATATTAGATCAAATATGCCTTCTTTTTATACTATCAGAATATAACGCTTACCTTGTCAGTAACATGACAAGATATCTTGTTATTTTTTTTATTTATGTCTAAAACAAATCTATCAAAACAGGACTATTATTCTCGTCTTCTTAATTATTCTCTCTACAAATTCATACATAAATGATAGTGCATTTGATTCCATTACCTCGACAAATCCTAGTCAAGAATTCCGTAGACAGAACTAATTTCTTCGTCCAATCTTCAACAACAAACCCGCGCAAGTAATAAAAGTGCAGTAACACCTCTTCGTACTTTTTCAAAGCCCCTTTGAAGTCTGATGTAATCTCTCTTTCCACTACGCGTTTATCAACTCTGATGTATTGCAATGATGCTCTACTCGTATTTTTAGCGATTTCTAAATTGGTTTTATACTTTTTACGTATTAGACCAAAAAAAATATATAGTCTGAATTATTTAGCCTTTAAATGTAGGTCATACAAGATATATTTGCGTTTTGCCATAATTTCTTGTTAAACCCAGAAGGTTTAGTCTCCGCAGTATCTAGAAATGATAGTTTCCTCCTCCTAGATTTGAATTTTTAATAATATTAATGCATGCTATCGATATGTCAGTGTTTAATTTGAACATAATATATCCATTTTAACAAATATACACAGCACCTGGGATGGAGCTTTATGATACGATTTTTCTCTTTTAATTCTGTTATAATATTAGTAGCCTTTGTAAGAACTTATTAAATCCAATGATTTGTTTGAAACATCAATGTAATTAGAAATTATACCACCAGTAACCTACTATGCCTTTTGCGTTTCCATTTCGCGTCTTACCTTATAATAAATATAAAAATTCTTAATAGTTATTTGCCAAAATTTTCTTTTATACATTTCATAAGAATGAACTGTTATATTATAAATATCACTTTAATAAGATTCCACTTGAACGGTTTAATTCAAACCGTTAAAGTTGAGCAACTTCACGTTCCACATTAACTTGCTGGACTATTTACCACAATGGAACTCCTTTTTTCGGTCCTTTGTGGCTTCTCCTTTGATTAACTTTGATCTAGGTGAGTGCGCGACGAAGGTAGCCACGATAGCGTGTCTACCCTTAATGCAACAACACTAATGGATTGTTAGAGGCTATAAGATCTCTGCGAATGCTACCTGTAATGGCGTTGCCTTATCTCTTTTAAGAGGGTTTTCTGCCTTTGTTGGTAGCTAAACAATTCCCAACCTTTACTCTACTAATATTGTACGAGTCAAACATTTGACATCGATGGGTATTATAGACTGTTCTATCATTAGTCTGGTCAACAAGTGCCTTTTTAAGGAAAACCTGTTAAACTTCACCAAAAACTATGGTTATGGTCTCATTCGATTCGTAATGGCATCTAGAAAAAGAGTTATTAACAATTTAGTAAAAAAAAAACATAGGGTATGTTTATTTGCAAATATTTCTAAAACTATTTGAGATATTCAAAATTTGAAAAAAGGAATTTTATTAAAAAATGCCTTTCTCCTAGAACTGTACCTAAAATAGTTATAAATTTAATTTAATGGTGAAAATGCGCCTAAAAACGGGTAACAGTACGGCAAGCATCATAAAGCCCTGTTGGTATTTAATCAAATGCCAGAGCATGAGAACAAAATACAAAGATGTGAGTTTTCGACAATTCGTAAAGATTTCTTGTGTTAAAATGTTGAATAAATTAAAAATAAGAAATTAAACAAGAATGAATTACAAAAACCCAAATCAAATCGGCAGCATCTAATGTTGCAAAAAAATACCAGGCTCGTCTAGGGAAATATAGCCTAGATCATTTTAGCATTTCGCCTGGTGAGTAAGATAGCCGTGGTTCTTTAAACGTTTTTAACCCATTAGCAATCCAAAAGGTCCATACGTATCATTGAAAAATCGATAAAGATGACTTGGTGGTTCTAAGCAATTGGCTTCGGGGTCGCGGGTTCAATTGCCACACAGGACAAGTAATTGTAAGGCCCACAGAATTCCCGTTCCAAGTGTCTGTTCCTAAAAAAATGTTAACGTCAGGCAGCCAGTTGCAGTTTACTCCTTGTCTTGGATGGATAAATTGACTATATAACTTAATTTTCTAGGAAAAAATGCACAATAAATCATAATTTTATCATTTAAGAAAAAGACAGACAAAGAACTGACGGACTGTAAACCCTCTTCGCCGATCTGCATCTAGTTTCCTTGCCATTACAAACATTCTTCAATTACCTCGAGAAGTTTATAAATTAAGTTTGTAATGAATTAATTAATTATTTAATGTTATTTTTCGGAAATTTAAAACATGCCATTTATCTAAGCTGTCCTTAGTTTTAGCACATTTCACATATAATTTACTTTAGTTGTGAGAGGAATAAATTATGATTTTAATTTGTAACACAAATTAAACGAAAGCTATTAACGATTACTGGTATACATATATTGTAGAAACACAACGCAATACAACACTGAGGAGATACGATTATAAATAAATATTGATGTCATTGTGATGGGTAACTTGGGCTAGGCGGTCGTTTTATTCTTAGGCCTTGGGGAGGTGGGCACCTTCCGCCCTGAATCCATTCTCGTCGGCGGTGTAGGTGACGGTGTAAATGACACCGTCGGTGCCTGGGTAGGAGAACTGGCCTCGGACAGCGATGGCTGGTCCCTCTGGGCCGTTCCTCAGCTCACCCTCCTCGTAAGCGATTTTGCCGTCGCTGGTTTCATAGCTGAAGCGAATTGATGAAGTTTGTTATTTTACTTTAAATTAACAATAAAAAGGCCAATTTATGGTTCAGTGCTGAAGTGGAAAGTGAACTGTGTTATAAAAGTAAGAAAAGTAAAAAGTAACAGCCTATACATGTCCCACTGCTGGGCAAAGGCCTCCTCTATACAGAGGGTATCGGGGCATAGTCCACCACGCGGCCCCACTGCGGATTGGCGGACTTCACATATCTTCGAAAAATATTTTTTTTTTGTTATTATTTCGAAAATATGCAGGTTTCCTCACGATGTTTTCCTTCACCACGGAGCACGTGATAAATCAGCACTTAAAGTTAAAAACTTCATTGGTGCTGGCATAGGGAATCGAACTCAGGTTGCTCGAGTATATTGAAATAAAGGCCAGCGCCCGGACACTGAGCTATCACTGTGTTATATTCGACATATATACTCATTTACCCGGTGCTGTATGGTCCAACGCCGATGTTGTTGTTTTCGCTTTTGATGATGGTGGCATCCCTGGAATCAAGTGGGACGGCGACGGCCGCGGCCACGAACAGAGCAAAAACAATGACCTGGATACACGCAAATATAAAGATTGATTATTCGTCCAGCCCAATGCACATAATTTATTTTAATGATAGGTAAATAGACCTCTTAAACTATTCAAGTTCGCAAACTAAGTTATCCTTATCAAATTATTCTCAACGAGCAACCTTTGGTTTTTAAAATGAGCTATATAAAAACTTAAAGTTGTTGCAAAAAAATCAGCCGTTTAGCTCAGTGGCTAGAGCGTCAGGCCGCGAATGCCGAAGACGTGGGTTCGATTCCCACAGCGGCGACAATCTTTTCGCACTTTTTCTACATATTTTAATGTTCAATCTTAAGTGCAAAGATTAGCACTATAAACAATTTAAATTTCTAAAATAGTTAGCATTAAAAACATTTGCGTATAAATCATTTCTTTCGTGTTTGCCGTTACTTAAAACTACCTCCTAAATTTTTCAAGACTATAATATCAAAGCTATTGATGGTTTTCGTTATACATATAATTTTTTAATGCTTTTTTTATGTGAACACTCTTTAAAGCACAATATCAAGCACTGTAGATACGCTAGCATTTTCGTCCAATTCTTAATTTAACAAATTAAATGGTGAAACAATTCACTTACGGATTTCATTTTTGTGATGTTTTATGGATGTGTATTTCCCAGGGTGATTTTCAAATGACTGTGACCTGAACATAAATCTTGCACATTTATATACTCACGCATGTTGGCCTATAGTGCCTTCGTTTGCATATATTTCCATATCGATAGTAGGCATAACTTGACCATCTGAACTTGTCAAATCTTCCATTTTAAGATGTACTATTAATTTAAGAAATACTTTATCGTTTCTTTTTTGTTTTAGTAACAGTGAACTTTCAGGGAAGGACAAAAACCTTTTCGTCACTGAAATTAATTCTAACATCATCTGACGACCGTTTGACTGTTTCTTGGTCATTTCAATAGTATATATTTAATATACTTAATTACTTACTATATAATTAGTTATTTCATGTTTACTTTTAAATGTTTCAATATCCTGGTTCATAAACGATATCAAATCTAAAATTAAACATAGCAATGTGTCACTCTTTGCAGATGACCTTAAATTATTTAGGCTCGTAGAATCAAACTCCTATTCATGTTTCTTACAGCGTGATGTAAACAGTCTATTAGAATAGTGTAAATGAAACGATATGCCACCAAATCCCCAAAAATGCTATCATGTATACACGGAAAAAATCCTTATCAATCGGAGTACCGCATAGAGAATACGTCGCTTTCGTTGTTCGTCTTCGTGTACGTTGATTCGTTTCTGAAACGAATGAAATAAAAGATCTGGGGGCTGTTCTAGACTCAAGACTCAGTTACGTTCGGCATATTGACAATATTGTTAGAAAATCAGCTCAAACACTAGGATTTCTCAAAAGAAATACTAAAGGGTTTCAAACCAAAACTAAAATCATGTTTATAATATGCTAGTACGAAGTCAGTTAGAATACGCAAGTCTGTGTGAAATCCATCCTACGCGGTAAATTCTCAAAGGATTGAAAATATCCAAAGAGCCTTCATGGGACATATAGCTCATATCACTAGCGGAATATCATACCGATGCCCATATAATTATCAACTAAAATATTTTAACATGCCAGAATTAAAGGATCGAAGAACCGTGCATGGCCCATGCAGTGAGAACTATAAAGAACTATTAAGTAATCTTTTCCTAGCTGTCCCGTACAATTTCCCCCGGCGCCCTATAACAAGACTCTTTCGTACTCTTCAATATAGAAGCATTACACTTACTTATTGATTGTCAAAACTCTACCACCTGAAAAGCCACTGACCTGACAAGAACCGGTGAAAGAAACACAGCAGGACATTTTTTAACCATTATTTAACAAAAAAATATGTTCACAAATGTACTAAGTCCACTTGAAAGAGCTTGGAGCGATCAATTCATTTCTGTCCTTTTAATTATTTTTTTTCAATTTATAAATTGATACATTGTGAAAGTTTTCTGGAATTTTGTTGTAAAAACATTTAGGCACATGGTCCCATAATAGAATTACTTATTCCACGCAGTCTAGTTGTGGGTTGAATTAATTTATGTTTGCTCCTAGTATTTATACAGCGTGTCGTTACAGCGGCAACAATAAATGAACACACGTCTAACGCTACTTGCCAATAATCACAAAAAATATTAACGTTAAAAAAATACATAATTAAAATAAATATTTTGGAACAAACTAATTAAGTAAAAAAGAAACAAAATTTGTAACATCCTATGCAACTACAACTGAATGATTCATACATTCAGCGACTTTTTCATTCGTTGCCACAGCGTCGCATTACAAGCCATTTAAAAGAGACCAAACAGTATGTTTGGTCTCTTTTAAATTCATGCAACCCATTCATATGCTTTGTGACCCTTACAAGTGAACTTTACGTTACAGTTTTATACGTAAGGCTGTTCTAAAATTGTTTGTTTTGGAAAATTTAAAAACTCGGTAAAAATTGATGTTTAAAGTATGTAAATTTTTAATACAATTTTAAAAAGTCATCCTTTATAGGTGTACTTTATAGGTGAACGCAATCTTCCGCGAACCCCAGCGCCTGGGGCCTTTACAGGCTTCCTCCCTCCGAGTGTTTGGACAACCGGTCCAGCCAAATGGTCTAAACAGCCTCTCCGGCTTGCAAAGGGACTTTGAAAGACTTTGAAATGGTTAGAACCAATTTGACTAGCTCGAAGCACAAGGGCAAAGTAGGCAGCCTCTCAGTATTCTACAAGTTGGATTTTTCCATTAGTGAACTGGTCGACTTGATTCCTCGAGTTATGGGTTCTATCATTGTAAGAGCAGAAGGTCGATGGAGTTCCTTTCTTTTTTTATCGGCATTCCGCGCACTTGACTCTTACGGTTTGCGTCGTCGTTTATCAGCGAACTTCAGAGGATAAGAATAACCTGCCGGCATGAATGAATCGACCAAAACGCTCACTTTCTCGAATACAATCAACACGTATGTTTAAGCATTGGATTTTTTGATGTCATCTTAGACGGCGATTCGATAATTTGAACAAGAATTTAATTATTATTTTAATTTAATTATTTAATTATTTTATTTATTAATTTTATTCAAAATTTAAGCGAGACAGACGAAAAATATAACGCAGAGAAAATAAACAGATTCCTACGTATTGTATACAAAATATAATGTTTATGCTTTCACTTGGCACTTCGGAAGTTAGCCTTCTATTATGTCCTTCGTCTTTATTCGAGGCCTTGTAAACAATATAGAGATGACATCTTCCGTTTACGAATTCTTGAACATGCACCCAGTAATTCCAGTTTCATAGATTATTGAGATGCCACTAATAAAGCATTAAAACGTAATCGTCAGATTGTATGTAAATAAAATCCTTACTAATATTATAAAGGCGAAAGTTGGTATGTATGGATGGATGTTTGTTACTCTTTCACGTAAATACTACTGACTGGATTTTAATGAAACTTTACAATAATATAGCTTATACATCAGAATAAGACAGGCTATAATTTATATACATATTTTATGTATATCTGTTTTTCTGTCTGAATGTTACACCTTCAGCCTATTCTACTCAGACGTAGTCGCGGACAGCAGATAGTGTTTAATATTTTAAGATAATGAGGTCACCTTTTTCATGGAGAAACATTACTGGATCTAATAAACATTTACTGCAAATCTTGTACAAACTCAAAAGATTTTCTTTTCCTCAATTACGTTATGTTATTTGGTCTGTTCAATTTGTTACCATTAATTCACATGTTTTTTTTTTTTAATTTATTTAAGAAATGCTGTGCATTCCTTGCGTGGATCAATACATAGATTTAATATATAATTTATTTTTTTTAGTATAAACGTAGAATAAACCTTTATTTTATCTTTTAAAAAGAAAGACAGAAAAAGAATACACTGAATGTCTACCCTCTTCGCCAATCTGCATATAGTTTTCTTGCTATTGATACAAACTTTCCTCAACTTCTTCAGAAGTTTTACAGTTTGTAATAAATTAATTCGTTACTTTATGTAATTTTTCAAAAATTTAAAACATGTCATTTATCTCATCCAACCTTAGTTATAGCACCTTTGTCAGTGGTGAGGGGAATAATTAACCAATGCTTTTGTTTTGTAACACAAATTAAACGAGAACTGTTAACAATTATCGGTATACATATATTGTAGAAACACAACGCAATACAACACTGAGGAGATACGATTATAAATAAATATTGATGTCATTGTGATGGGTAACTTGAGCTAGGCGGTCGTTTTGTTCTTAGGCCTTGGGGAGGTGGGCACCTTCCGCAACGAATCCATTCACGCCGGCGGTGTAGGTGACGGTGTAAAGGACGCCGTCGGGGCCTGGGTAGGAGAACTGGCCGCGGACAGCGAGCGCTTCTCCCTCTGGGCCATTCGTCAGGTCACCCTCCTCGGAAGCGGATTTGCCGTCGCTGGTTTCATAGCTGAAGTGAATTGGAGAAGTTTGTTATTTTACTTGAAATCCATACGGATAAATAAAATTGGAGTGTCCGTTTTTTTTTTAATATTAAAATAACCGCTTTTTATTAAATACATATGGATGTACACACGGTACATATACCAAAATAATTTTTTTACAATTTTTGTCTGTCTGTCTGTTTGTTCCGGCTAATCTCTGAAACGGCTGTACCGATGTGGACGTAACTTTCACTGACAGATAGCCGATGTAATAAGGAGTAACTTAAGCTACTTTTATTTTAAATTCAATACTGAAATGTAAAGTGAACTGTGTAATGCTTGGCATATGTATACATTTACCGGTAGAAATATGGTCCAACACCGATGTTGTTGGATTCATCTGTGACGATGGTGGCATCCTTGGAGTCGAGAGGGGCGGCGACGGCCGCGGCCACGAACAGAGCAAAGAGGATGAACTGCAATCATAGGTTATCCAATGAATACAAAAAAAAAACAATCGAAAATTAACCTGATGATCAATATTTCCTGTTAAATTACAATTCATTGGCATTAAGACTGAATCACGTGTTAAAATTTTTTGTTAAAGTTGGCGAACACAAAAATGCCGCAATGGCATTAATTAACATGATTTTATTTCAATTAATAGAGAAATATTAAGGAAATTGAACAATTAAACAAAAGGTACTTAACAAATTAAAAAACTCAAAACTTTGCCCATTCAAATAACGCTGTCTATTTCTATTACTTATATTTGTGTTTACAAAGTATGTATTACAAACTTTAATCCCAGACATTACTAATTTACAAACAATAATAAATTTATCGTAAATATTTAATTACTTCATCTATCCAATAAAATATGCCTGAAAATGTACTTACGGATTTCATTTTTGTTTTGAGTGTTGTATCTGTATTGCGAGATGATCAAGTGTGTTATCAGAATATAGATTTCACACATTTATATACCCAAAAGACGGCGAAGAGTCACGTTTTAGCATATATTTGCATATCGGTGGAACAAGTGCTGCTACTACGCTAATTCGTTAACATATAGCTAAATTCTGGTGTATATCAATTAAACGTATATAAATTATGTTCGTCTACAAAAGTAAATAGGTCGTCCATGGGGCAAAGTGTGCGCGTGTATAATAAAATCCCACAGTCTGTACTGTACTGCAGTACTGCCACTTGATCAATTTAATCGCAAAGTTAAAAGTAAAGTTATGGCTAAGGCATGTCATACCACTGTACAACAGAAACTGCGTTCCGAACCGGTGGGAACTTACTTACGAACTTATTAATTTTTATATAAAATTTTTACGTTTCACAAGAACGCGCAAGCGTCTATGTGAAAAAAAATATTAAGAATTTTAAAACTTATCTTTCTTCATCTTTATATTACAAAGAGAATGGGACTAGCACATTTAATAACCCAATAATTATTTCATTATAATTTTTTTCTTTTTTTTTCCTCTTTCTCTCTTTTTTCTATCTGTACATTAAATAAGCTATGTTTTGTTCTAATTTTCATATTTTATTCTATTGCTAATTTGTAACACTACTGTTCTCCTTAAATAAAGTCTTTTATTTTATGTAAAACTTAATTTTTAAGCGCATCAGAATAATAATTATATTTTATGCATTTCGTTGGTAAGCGTGTTTAAATAAATACGTTATGTCGTACGCTATATTGTATGGAAAAGCATTTAATGTTAACCACAAATCACTCCTAACTTAAACTATTCTTTCTCCCATTCTACTTTTCAAGTATTTCCATTATAGTGGTGCCTATAAACTCTCGATTGCGACCAATTATTTAACATTTTCAACTCCTCTTTCCCTACATAATAAAAGCTATACTTTCACAAGACGGGATTTATTTATAAAAAAAATTAAATAATGATAAAACCTTACAGTATCATTACAGGTACTTAATTACCGGTAAAGATAGTGTAAGGTAATTAAGTAGGTACCTGTAATGTAAGTTAACCCAATACAATAGTGCGGTAATCTACAACAAAGGAAAACCACTTATTAACTATAACCAATACAAATTGACAGTGCAATCTTTTAGAATTCACTCAGAGAACACAAGAATAAATCTAAATCCGTAGCAATAATATTTAAAGTGCCCAGTGCAATCATCCAAGGCGCCTCATTCAACAATTGGGAGCGCCCTTGCGGTACCACAAACAGCTGTGATCTGCGCCGACGCCATCTAATAACATTCTGGATTGTCGATATGATTTATATGGCTAAAATGCCATTATCACAAATGTTTTATTTTAAAAACATTGCCCATACTTTAGGATAACATTGTCCTGAGTTGTAAGGACGTTTTACAAATAGTCGCCTTCTATCGGCTTCGTCGTCGGGGGTCGTGGGTTCGATTCCCACACGGGACCAGTATTTGTGTGACCCATAGAAAGTTGTTTCGGGTCTGGGTGTTTGTCCACGTGAAATCTATGTTTATAAAACGTCTTCACAACATAGGATAATTTTATACTACGTAGTAATGTGCTTGTTTTTAAAAAAAATAAAGCAAAAAATAATTATAACTAATTAATTTATATTTTTAAATTAAAGAGAATTACTTTCAAAAGTTCGCTAGGTATGTTTTAAAAAGTCATTAGTACTTGAAATGTTATAAATTATCGAACAAAACTTTATTTTTTTATAATAAAATTTCGAAATGTAGGGAAACTTAATAATTAATTAAACGTTATAAGATTTGTAAAACAGTATTTTCTACGTGTAGTGGTTGCTGAAGCAAAAGTAACTTGTTAAATTTAGTCAATTTGAAAACCAGTCTCACAACAATGCTAAGGTGACATTTATATACTTAATGAAATATAACATACGATCTGATTTCACATCGAGGCATATATTTAGAATAATTACAATTTTGCCAGTAAAGGCATTGATATAAAATCGATCCAATTAAGCTGGGAATGTGACCAAAATTATATAATATATGTATCTAGTCGTAGGCGGTGGAATCTGTTACGACGCCACTGGCCTTGACATTAACTTTCCTCGTCGAAATTAACGAGTCTACGAGTTGACCAGAATAAATTTATTAATCTGCCACGAAACCGGCTCCGAGCTTGAACTGACGACCTGATCGAACTGACGAATGGAGTAAGGCCTCTTGTCACGTCCACTGATATCAGTATAAAGGCCCATTTACACGATGCCATTTTCTTGAACATACAAGAGCAATAATTGAATGCAATAAATTGCGCGCAATAATTGTTTAGACCATTTGTTGTTTAGACCATGCAACTCATTTATTGCTTCAATTTAATTGTATACAACAGGCAAGAAACTGGCATCGTGTAAATGGGCCTTTACTAACTTCATCACTAACTTACTACTACACCGCTATAACATTAGTAGTATTATTATTATTTTTGCTTTTGATGTTATGCTTACGTTTATTTTAAGTTTTTCCAATATTACTTTATATACTGTGTAGTTAATTTTTTTTTTTAAGTTTTGTATGTATCCATTGTACTGAGACCGTGAATAAACGTTTCTCCTTCTTCTAGTAATTGAGTTTTTTGAAACATATTTTTACACAACGTCGTCTAGCCCCAAACTAAGCAAAGCTTGTGAAATTAAGTGTCTTGGGTAACTAAGTAAGTAACTGATAAACATACTCAAAAATATTTTTATTTTGTAAATAAATACATATTACAGTTATATATATACCCAGACACTAGAAAACTGTGGTAGAGCCACGCAATAGTATTTCGCTGTTGCGCAAATGGGCAGGTCCGTCCGGGTAAGTAATACGATCTCACAGAAGACTGGTGTGAAGTGGGAGTGTTACATTTCTTCGTCTCGTCTAGTGAGTGAGGTAACCGAGGCTGACTTTATAAAAAGGTGACAACGAATCAACAACTCAACGGATATTCTCCATGGGCGGTGGTTATCATTATTACCCGGTGAACCGCCAGCTCGTTTGCCAGTTTCTCAAATAAAAAAAAACGCTATGTTCATCACACAATCTATTACATAAAGAGGAAAGATTTGATTGTTTGTATGTATCGGATAGGCTCCGAAACTACTTAGCCTTTTTGAAAAATTCTTTCACTGTTGAGAAGCTACATTATCCCTGTTTGACATGGGCGATATAATATTTTAAAAAAATTAGGGATCCTTACTAAAACTCCAATAATGTTACTCAAGGTGTACAGAAATTACCTAAAATATTCTTTATATCGCGTGCGCTCCGAAAACTATTGATGATAGAATAAAGTAATATTCTACGACTTTGCAGACCACATCACTATTAATAAAAAGTGTCGCGACAGCATATGTCTAACTATTATAGTTATGCCACAATAAGTGTTCTTTTACTTTAAAATTTTGATTGAAATGCCGCCGCTAACAGCGGCTGTTTATTTGTATCTCGGTATTAATCCTTATAAAAATAAATTACTTCATATTTAAGACTGTTTCAATATCTTTATAAAACTTTTTGAATTATTAAATTCGGACATTCCATTCCTTAGATATCACAAGTTTAAAAATGTTAGTATATTGTAATTTATCTATCCAAACAGCTTAGTGACTGACTTAGTAGTTCTTATAAATTTTCAATCATATTTATACTGGTAATTCCTGTTCAACAGTTAGCAAATTATTAAATACTGAGGAAGTTTAATTTTTTTATCATTTTAAAATGCCCAAAAGATCAAGATCTCATCTTTCTAGAAATAGTTCGCAGGCGAGGACATTAAAAATAAGTCATAATGAGGAATCTTTACCGGAAACTGAATATCGTCTTACAAGTCGGAGAGAGTCAAGTAGAGTGTTTGCAGTGGCTTGAAGAGTATAATAATATAAATATACAAATTCACACTAGGGAATCGAGGTCTGAGCGTTCCTAACGTATACGAGATTAGAGAGAAAGATAACAAACGTCAACGACTAGAGTTCGTGATCGAGTTTTAGCTCAGAGTAACAGATCAGCTTTCATGCATTTTGCTCAACAGTCTTCCGTCCAAATCGTAGCCACGAATAAGATCTGCTCTAAGTGTTCTGCCAAAAATGGGTCGATGAACCAAATGATATGTGCTGTGCTTCTGGAAAAGTTAGTCCCCCCAATATTGAGGAGCCGCCTCAACCAATAAAAAACCTTTTTACAAATAATCATTCATCATCAGGACATTTTTAACCAACATCCGAAAGTACAATAGCCTCTTTCAAATGACTTCGTTTGACGCGAACTTTTAAAATAGAGGGACAAGTATACAAGTTATTATCATCCTCCTGCCCCTATCCCACCTAGGTGGGGTCGGCACAACATGAATCATGTTGTAAGAGGTTTTGCCTACATTTTTACAACCAGCCGCCTGCTTGACGTCAACCCTCCTTGGGAAACAAATGCCCAGATCAAATTTCAACTGTGTAACTATCATGGTTCATGAGATACAGCCTGTTGACAAAGGGACAAACAGACAGCGGAGTCTTAGTAATAGGGTCCCGTTTTTCCCACTGGGTACGGCATCCTAAAAAGGTTCCAGAGATATAGTGTTGCACGGTAGACACGGTCAACTTAAAGGGTCTCTGAGTTACACCGATTGTATGATCCATAAAAATATCCTTTAATAGTCGTAATAGGAGAAGACGGTTAATATTTGACTATTCCTCAGCAAGGTACTGTGCGTAACAAAACTATGACATGCATGCAATTGTTTGCAATTAGGTTGATGGTTAAAGCTTCCTGTTTTAAGCCATTGCATTATTCCTGGGACTTATCAGGGTTCCGTACCCTAAGGGTAATACGGCACCCTATTACTAAGACTCCGACGTCCGTCTGTATGTCCGTATGTCTGTCCATATGTCCATATGTACCAGGCTGTATCTTATGAATCGTG